AAGTTGTAAGTATAGATATATTAGATTCGACATTATCATCATTTCTCGATAATCTTTCTTTTTATTATACGCATATGGTACATATATAATTTTTTATTATAAAAATTTTCATATGATTAAGGTAATATTTTATTTGTTTACAGCGTCACGAATAATTTAGAAAATGCAAGATGTTTTTACATAAAACACGGATATTTCCCGAATTGTCTTCATGATTTTCTACCAACTTACAAGTGTTATAAACAGATCGCGTCACCGCAATAAAAACTGCACAGGTTGAAACTTATTTATTACATCTATTAATTTTAAGTTATTAATATGCTTGTAAATTGAAAAGCAATTAATAAATTACATTATATGTGTATAGAAAGAAAAGAAATGTACATCTTTCATTTTTTAATTTATAATTAAATCCATGTTTACATTTAATCTTTATTCATGTTTAATTAACTTTTTTAGATGAAGCACATAATAGAAATTTTAGTTAGAAAGTTTATAATAGAACATAAAATAAACAATTTGGACTTAGTCGAAGTGAATTGTATAATGTAAAAACATACGCGCACTAACATAATCACATATTAGTATATAACATGCACCATTGTAAAAATAAAGAGCTTTGTGAGATATTTTCAGATAACAATTATATATAATTTACAATTTTCTATAATTTTACGTGTTTTAGGTGTTTATTGAGGCATTTATTCACAAAAATCAATCAAAGTAAAAATTTTACAGTTTCTGTCTTATTTTAATTAGTAGAACATATAAATGAAAACGTGAAATATGCTGTAGAAATTATCATAATATATAATCCTACAGATCAATCTACAGATTCGGACCAACATAATAAATTTAAATTAATAATAGAATGTTATTGACATATACATATATACATACATGTTCGACAATTGAGAATCAACGATGAATAAAATATAGCTATTATCTTTCTGCGATATTTATTGTATTAATTAATATAAATAATAAAGTAAGAAAATTTTGTGACAGCAACAATTTGAATTGGTACTAAAGAATTAATAAATAAAAAATAAATAAATAAAAATAAAAAAATTAACTAATTTGATAACTTTTTTTAACACTTTCAATATATGCGAAATATGACGTAATAAATTTGCCATCTAATAATATCTATTATTTTGAAACTTATATAATCGATAGTGTGTTGCATTTGTATAAGTATAAATAGGTATGTTAATAAAAGACAATGATTTTTATATTTTCAAATATACACAATTCTTTTGTATTGAAGAAGACGATAAAAACTTATAATTGATATTAGATTTTGTATGATATTAGCATAATTTCAGATGTTGCTAATTCATCTCAATTTTATAATCTCAATTTTAATTCCTCAGTTTCCGATTCAGCGACTTTTGGACCGATATATTTTGCTTTTCTACATCTTTGTAGGGAAATCAAAAGAAAACATAGGAATTAAAATCTCGAATTGAGATTTATTCACAAACATCTGCGTTGAGTTCGCATAGTCTGTTCATTTTGAGTTTGTATTTAATCCATGAAGTTTTATATTCTTATAAAGTTTAAATTATTAAAATATATACACCCTATATATACGCGCAAATAAAACTAAATAAAATTGTAGAATATTCTTATATAAACTATGTGCATACATCAATTATTAAATATTTGTACTGTAAGTCGAGAATTTTATTTTAGCTGAGAATTTTATATGTAAAGATTAAAAAAATGAAAAATGTAAATCTCTCTCTTACCCCTTCTCTCTTATCGAGATAATTTGACATAACACAGCACTGGAGTTTATAATTGTAAAATATAAATACATAAATATTATTGGTAGAATTTAATAAAATTCATGATAATTTAAAATAATATTATTTTAATTAAGCTTAAATAATACATAATATAAATACATGAAGATTAATAAAATTTAATATAACTAATAAATTTGTAAAAATATATTATTTAAATTAATCTTAAATAGAGAACAATAAATAAATAAATAATAATAATAAAATAAATAATAAATGAATTATTTACCACGTTTTAACTTTCAAGCGCATAAGAAAAAATGGTAAATTTGCTAGTTCTAAATTACATTTTCTGCGCATGCTGTGGCAAGTTCTTATACCTATTTCTTAGTGAAAACAAGCAAAAAGGCTTTAAAATTTGGGGTCACATTTCATAATAAAGAACAGACCGTCTGTAGTGTGGAAACGTCTCTCGTATACATCAAACACACATCTGTGCTCTTTGTAATCGGCAAACTCATTTCGTGTACTGCGAAAAGCAAGGAATTAATTACGCGAATAGTTTATTGCAATCACTTTAATTTACATTCCTTTTTGTGTTTTGTTTCTCATAATGTCTGATTATAAGATAACGTGCTTACCAGAGGAGATCATAGACATCATTCTCGGCTATAATGTTATCACTATTGAGGATATCATCAACTTTCGATGCGTGTGCCAGCAATTTCGTTATGCAGCAACCAAATATAACAAGTTCTTGGAAAAAAAGTTATCTGAAAGGTAATTCTTGTGGTTTGTAAATCTTTTTGTTATTTTGTCTCATTAACGCCTGTCGCACAATGATTATCACTTCTGCGAAGAACGTATATTATAAATATATAATAAATACAAAATATTAGAAAAATTAGGTATGTTGCATTTATGTTGCATATTAAATTATTCGCTTTCATTTTTTCTATTGCTCAATAATTTTAACATACTCTACCGTTATATATATATACATATATAATATACATATACATATATATATATGGAATATAAACGTTAAATATAATATACTGATAAAAAAGGATTCTTAATTTTCGGCTGTCACAAATAAAAGACCAAATATTTTTCGACCGACATTTTTCAATTGATGTTTATTTAATTAATCACACAACGTTTCGACCACGGTGTTTCGACCATAACTTTGGTCCTTCGCACACTTAACAGTAACACTTGAGAAAGCCATAAATTATATGAAACGTTGTGTAATTAATTAAATAAATATTAATTAGCCTACATGTATATCGGTCGAAATATATTCAGTTATTAAATAATTTTTTTTTAGATTTAATTATCAAAAATACAACATAAAAGTAACTTTGTTTATTTATTATAATGTGTATTCTTCAATATATTTAATTGCATTTTTAAATATAAAAATTATATATATATATGATATATATTCGTGATAGAAACAAACAGATTTGATATTTTTCTATCGGTTCTTTTTTATAAATAACATTGAAATCACAATAAAATCTTTATAAAACTAAAAAACATGCCAAGTGATATATATAAGCACAGTCGACATTGTTTGTAAATATGCTTTCGAAAAAATTGTTCTACAAAATATTAAAAAAAAACTTAATCTATACATACATACACATAAGCACATTAATGTTTATTAATTGCATATAGAATACACTTATAGAATTATGCAATATACATATTGGAATCAAAATTTGAAAAGTATAAATTAAATTAGAAATTAAAATTGACTATTATATATTTTCTTTTTCTAATTAAAATATAAAAAAAGTGTCATATATATACTCATGCTTTGAATTGTACACTTTAAAAAATTTATTAATTTGAAAAATGACTTGTGCAATCACATTTTTTACTATCATCAAAGTTTGCTGTGTGTTATCTAAATAAAATTAAATGGAAGAACTGTGGCGTCATCTTATCTGCATATAGATAATAAAAATATGTATTATCTTTATATCTGCATCTTACAAATAAATAAAAAAAATACTACCTTTACTATATTATTTATCTAAAATAATATTCAGATAATTTTGGTTTAGAATCATAGCACATAAAAATACTTAAAGCAGACAGTAAAGCGATAAAAATTTATAAATAAAAATATGTATACATATATTGTTGTATCTTTTTCTTAATTTATATTCCTTGTATAACTGTGTTTACATAAATAGTTTTAAATATTATTATCTAAACAATTATCTAAATAAATCGTCATAATTATATCTTTTATCTAGATATACTTAAAGCAAAATCATCTTTATTTTATCTAATATGAATTTACATACTTTTATCTCATCTTTATCCAGCTAATTTTAAATTAATCTTGACACAACACTAAGTATCATTATCAAAAATTTATTTCAATATTTTATGGTCGTATTTTAGATGGCCCTATGCGAAGAAAAGATATGAAAGACTTACGGAGAAAGAAAAGAAAGAAAACCCAAACTTTGTTACAATAGGCATAAATTCTGCGACACAATTGCGAAATTATTTGTCTCAAATTCTTTTTTATGATTATTATTACAATAAGGGATCAAATCAGAATAACTTCGACAACTCATTTGCTAATGTATTGGAATTAAAAAATAATGTAAAAAAATTCAGTGGTAATATCGATAAATATGTAAATCGAATTGTCTTTACATGTACACATGAGCCTATAGATGCGCTGAAATATATGTTTTATATTGAAGAGATTAAATGCTTGTTAACACAATTTCCACAGTAGGACTTTCATATATATTATAATGCAACTATTATTACAATTTAATGTATTTAATCATTAGTTAATGCTTCAATATACATTTTTTAGGGATCGCAAATCAATCGAAAGTTTTTGCAATATAGAAATGTCTCACTATGCGAAGCTATCCTCGATAGGAAATGAGTTGGACAGATATAGAAAGAAACCTGAAGGAGAACAGCTTTTGGAAGAAACATGTACTTTTGCGGCAAAATATATTCAAGTTCGAGAAGATGTATGTTACACGAATGTAAGTGCATCATTGGATACAATCGCACAAGAGGTACGGAATCGTCTCAGAGAGAAGCATCCGAACCATTCGATATTCTCCACGTCTGATAAAACTTTTTCCTATTGGAAAACCAACAATATCGAAGATAATCGATGGAATGACACAGAAAGTACGCATATTATGGATACACTCCAAGAATATATATTTCGCACCTTCTACATTCGAGCACGTATCCCCCATTTTCACCCGAAGATATCAAATATTTGTGTATAGATTATGTAAGTTATTATTGATTATAATACATGTAATTATGGGCCATATATGTATACGTTATATGTTGTTTTTAATATTCTCTCGCTTTGATTAATTTGTCGTGTATTATACCTGGCACAGGTTTTACAAAGTAAAGTTGGTGAAGATATCATTGTAAATACAATATTTCATAGCGTGGCTAGAAGACTTGGTCTACGTTGCGATGTACTATATATTGAAGATGGATTCTGTATATTTTGGAAATCAAAATTGTAAGTACAGATATATATTAGATTCGACATTATCATTATTTCTCGATAATCTTTCTTTTTTTATTATACGCTTCCAATATAATTTTTTATTATATAAATTTTTATAATGATTAAAGTAATAATTTAATTGTTTACAGAGTCCCGAATAATTTTGAAAATGCAGGATGTTTTTACACACAAAAGCATTTCCCGGGTATCGTGTTATTGATAATCTATCAGAATACATGTCTGTAAGACCATTCGCAATAACAATTACAAAGGTTAAAAATTACTTATTTATTACTTCTAATAATTTTAAGTTATTAATATATTTCTAAATTTACAAAGAATCAATATATTACACTAAATATGTATAGGAAGAAGAGAAATGTGCAATCTCTCATTTTTTAATTTATAATTAGATTTTTGTTTACATGTCGTCTTTATATTCATGTTTAATTAATTTTTTCAGATGTTGGAGTCCATAACACATATCGTTAGACAATTTATAATGCGACATATAATAAATGCTTTGCAATTAATCGAAGTTAAATGCATTATCCAAAAACCTTCGATATGATTAAAATGTATTGCAATCATATTATGATGATAGGTATTATGAGTGCAAGTTATATACATATAATGCAAAATGTGAGTAATTATATTAATTTAAGCATATTCATGTATACTCATAATGACATTTTTTGCAAACAGTTTCAAGATATCATAATATGTCCGTGTTTTGAGTAGCATATGAGCCTGCATCTGTGTCTATTTTTGTCATCATGTTTTAAAAAATATGAGTACAATATGAGTAAAGTACACACGCGCACTAACAATCGCATATTAGTATATAATATATACAATTGTAAACATATTGAACACTGTGAGATTTTTTTAGATAACAATTCTTTTAGATAACAATATGTATAATCTACAATTTTTTATAATTTAACGTGGTTAAGTGTTTATTGAGACATTTATTCACAAAAAATCTATTAAAGTACAAATTTTACAGTTTGTGTCTTAGATTTCGTTTTAAATAGTAAAACAAATAAATAAAAACGTAAAATATGCCATAGTTGCATGGACCAACATAACAGACAGATGTTATATTGACACATACATGTATATACACGTATATGTTCGACTTTTGTTGATAAATACCATGCCCTATTTTTGTATGCAATGTCAATTGAATATCAACGACGAATAAAATGTATTTATCGTTCTCTGCTATATTTATTGTATTTATTAATATAAACAATTAAATAAGAAAAATTGTGATTGCAAGAATTTGAATTAGTGCAGTAAAATTTATATGTATATTTAAAAATTTATAAAAATTAATTAATTTATGAACTTCTTTTTATTACTTTAAGTATATGAAAAATATGACATAATTAAAATTTACCATCTATTAATATCTAATATTTTGAAACTTTTATAAACGATAGTGCATTTGTATAAGTAAAAACAGGTATATTAATAAAAGACAATGATTATTATATTTTGAAATATATATAATACTTTTGTGTTGAAGGAGACAATAAAAACGTATTAATGATATTAGATTTTGTATGACATATTGTATGATAATTGCAGATTTTAAAAATTCGTGCAAGATTCAAGCAAGACTATAAAATTTGACTAATTCCAAAAAGTTATATCTTCCTTTTATGTAGAAAATTTCTTCAATGGATGAGGCATTATTTTAAGAAATATAACGAACAACGTTAACTATATATTAAAATATATTTAAATGTGGTAATTGTACAAAGACTTATACCAAAATTTTTTATATTATCTGAAAAAATAAAAATACATAATTGAGAAACACATGCTTTGTAATGAGACAGCAAATGTACTCCGCATTTGGGCACAGAACACATTTAATGTCATTAAAATGTAACACTTTAATTTCCGTTTCTTTGAAACTTCTGTTAGGACACTCATCTTGTATTTTATTTTTCAAAAATAAATTTATTAATTCTACAAATATGTTTCTTCAGTGATCGAGCGATTTAAACAATATACAATCCTCTACATCACATTATATAATAGTTTACACCCCGTATATACGCGCGAGTAAACTACATAAAATTGTTGAAATTCTTAAAATTTACACATTATTTATTAAAAAGAATGAAAAATAAACAGAAAAGAAGAGGGGAAGAAAGATTGAAATATATTTCATAGTATAAATAATGTCGTAACAATACTAATAATTCGTACAAAGATTCGTATTTATAAATTGGATTAAGTTTAAATAAATTTAATTAAATTGAAATTAAAAATCTGAACATTCATTTAAATGTCTGTGCTGTATTTTTTAATTTATAAATTCATTCTTTGATTTTATTATGTGGCGCATTTATCATGATGTGAAATATTTTAACTAATTTCGTTCGACAATCGTCGACAATCTAAGGAAGAACATAAATTTAATGAAATAAAAATTATAACAAAGTTTAACATAACTATTAACGAAGAATGTTTTCATCGTATCATTTATGCAGAGGATCTCTTCGATGGATGTGGCATTATTTTAGAAGGTATAACAAACAATGTGGAGCATGCGATATCTGTGATAAAAATTTCATCCTATTATCTATAGATACATCTGTGATATATCATATAAAAATAAAGCATAAAGAAATTTATACATAATGTTTCAAGTGTGGGGCCTTTTTATTCTATATCAGAAAATATATTAAAATCAGGTAATTGTACAAAGACTTACACTAAAATATTTTATGTATCTGAAAATATAAAAAACATAATTGAAACACACATACTTAGAACAGCAAATATACTCCACACTTGGATATAAAACACATTTAAGGTCATTCTGAAACGCAAGATTTGCGACAAATTTAATAAGATAAATAATTCTTTTAAATTAATGATATTTATTTCAACTTCATAATATCTCTGCATATCTCCAAATGCTACCAAAGGAGTAAGTGAAAAACCGATAAATATAAATATTACTATTTAGTTTTTCTTTAGTGATTAATATAAACTTTTGAAAAATAAATGAACAAATATACTTAATGAATAAGAAAGTTAGTCTCGTAATAAACAAGGAATGCGAGCCGAACGCGAAGGTTTGTGTTTTAGATAATAAAAATTAATTTTTCTCCTATGTCTTATAATTGTGCACAAGGCACGAAATTTGTTTAACATAGTGCTAACAATAATATTATTTAAAAATAAATATCAACTTGGTTCTCAATTTTAGAATATCTATTTTAACTCCTAAGTTTCCGATTCTGCAACTTCTAGACCGATATATTTTGCTTTTTCTACATTCTTTTAGGGAGATCAGAGAAAAACATAAGAACTAAAATCTCGAATTGAGATTTATTCACAAACATCCGCGTTGAGTTCGCATAATCTGTTCATTTTGAATTTGCATTTAATCTATGGAGTTTTTAAATTGTTATAGTTTAAATTTCTAGAATATAAACACCCCGTATATACGCGCGAATAAAACTAAATAAAATTGTAGAATATTCTTATATAAACTATGTGCATACATCAATTATTAAATATTTGTACTGTAAGTCGAGATATTTATATGTAAAGATTTAAAAAATGAAAAATGTAAATCTCTCTCTTACCCCTTCTCTCTTATCGAGATAATTTGACAATGCACAGCACTGGAGTTTATAATTGTAGAATATAAATACATAAATATTATTGGTAGAATTTAATAAAATTCATGATAATTTGAAATAATATTATTTTAATTATTGTAAGCTTAAATAATACATAATATAAATACATAAAAATTAATAAAATTTAATATAACTAATAAATTTGTAAAAATATATTATTTAAATTAATCTTAAATAAAGAACAATAAATAAATAAATAATAATAATAAAATAAATAATAAATGAATTATTTACCACGTTTTATCTTTCAAGCGCATAAGAAAAAATGGTAAATTTGCTAGTTCTAAATTACATTTTCTGCGCATGCTGTGGCAAGTTCTTATACCTATATCTTAGTGAAAACAAGCAAAAAGGCTTTAAAATTTGGGGTCACATTTCATAATAAAGAACAGACCGTCTGTATCGTGGAAAACGTCTCTCGTATACATCAAACACACATCTGTGCTCTTTGTAATCGGAAAACTCATTTCGTGTACTGCGAAAAGCAAGGAATTTATTACGCGAATAGTTTATTGCAATCACTTTAATTTACATTCCTTTTTTGTGTTTTGTTTCTCATAATGTCTGATTATAAGATAACGTGCTTACCAGAGGAGATAATAACCATCATTCTCGGCTGTAATGTTATCACTATGGAGGATATCATCAACTTTCGATGCGTGTGCCAGCAATTTCGTTATGCAGCAACCACATATAACAAGTTCTTGGAAAAAAAGTTATCTCAAAGGTAATTCTCTCGGTTTGTAAATCTTTTTGTTATTTTGTCTCATTAACGCCTGTCGCATAATGATTATGACTTCTGCGAAGAACGTATATTATAAATATATAATAAATACAAAATATTAGAAAAATTAGGTATGTTGCATTTATGTTGCATATTAAATTATTCGCTTTCATTTTTTCTATTGCTCAATAATTTTAACATACTCTACCGTTATATATATACATACATAATATACATATACATATATATATATATATATATATGGAATATAAACTTTAAATATAATATACTGATAAAAAAGGATTCTTAATTTTCGGCTGTCATAAATTAAAAGACCAAATATTTTTCAATTGATGTTTATTTAATTAATCACACAACGTTTCGACCACGGTGTTTGGACGATATAATTTTGGTCTTACGCACACTTAACAGTAACACTTGAGAAAGCCATAAATTATATGAAACGTTGTGTAATTAATTAAATAAATATTAATTAGCCTACATGTATATCGGTCGAAATATATTCAGTCATTAAATAATTTTTTTTAGATTTAATTATTACAAATACAACATAAAAGTAACTTGGTTTATTTATTATAATGTGTATTCTTCAATATATTTAATTGCATTTTTAAATATAAAAATTATATATATGATATATATTCGTGATAGAAACAAACAGATTTGATATTTTTCTATCGGTTCTTTTTCATAAATAGCATTGAAATCGCAATAAAATCTTTATAAAATTAAAAACATGCCAAATGACATATATAAGCACAGTCAACATTGTTTGTAAATATGCTTTCAAAAAAATTGTTCTACAAAATATTAAAAAAAAAACTTAATCTATACATACATACACATTAGCACATTAATGTTTATTAATTGCATATAAAATACACTTATAGAATTATGCAATATACATATTGGAATCAAATTTGAAAAGTATAAATTAAATTACAAATTAAAATTGACTATTATATATTTTCTTTTTCTAATTAAAATATAAAAAGAAGTGTCATATATATACTCATGCTTTGAATTGTACACTTTAAAAATTTATTAATTTGAAAAATTACTTGTGCAATCACATTGTTTACTATCATCAAAGTTTGCTGTGTGTTATCTAAAGAAAATTAAATGGAAGAACTGTAGCGTCATCTTATCTGCACATAAATAATAAAAATATTTATTATCTTTATATCTGCATCTTACAAATAGATAAAAAAAAATACTACCTTTACTATATTATTTAGCTAAGATAATATTCAGATAATTTTGATTTAGAATCATAACACATAAAAATACTTAAAGCAAACGATAAAACGATAAAAATTTATAAATAAAAATATGTATACATATATTGTTGTATCTTTTTCTTAATTTAAATTCCTTGTATAACTGTGTTTACACATAGATAGTTTTAAATATTATTATCTAAACAATTATCTAAATAAATCGTCATAATTATATCTTTTATCTAGATATACTTAAAGCAAAATCATCTTTATTTTATCTAAGATAAATTTACATACTTTTATCTCATCTTTATCCAGCTAATTTTAAATTAATCTTGACACAACACTAACAATAAGTATCATTATCAAAAATTTATTACAATATTTTATGGTCGTATTTTAGATGGCCCTATGCGAAGAAAAGATATGAAAGTCTTACGGAGAAAGAAAAGAAACCTAAACTTTGTTATAATAGGCATTAATTCTGCAATACAATTGCGAAATTATTTGTCTCAAATTCTTTTTTATGATTATTATTACAATAATAGATTAAATCAAAATTACTTCGAGAACTCAATTGATACTGTATTGGAATTCTATAATAATGTAAAAGAATTCAGTGGTAATATCGATAAATATGTACATCCATTTCATAAAATTCGATTTTTCCTGACCTTTACAAGAGCCTATAAAGGTGCTAAAATATACGTTTTATATTGAGGAGATTAAATGCTGGTTAACACAATTTCAACAGTAGGATCTTCATATATATTATAATGCTACTATTATTACAATTTAATGTATTTGTTCATTATTTAATAATTCAATATATATAAATTTTTTAGGAAAATTGATCGCAATTCAATCCAAAAATTTTGCAATATAGAAATGTCTCACTATGAGAAGCTATCTTTGATACGAAATGAGTTGGACAGATATATAAAGAAACCTGAAAGAGAACAGCTTTTGGAAGAAACATGTACTTTCATAGCACAACAAATTCAACCTCGAAAAGATGTATGTTACACGAATGTAAGTGCATCATTGGATACAATCGCACAAGAGGTACTGAATCGTCTAAGAGAGAAGCATCCGAACCATTCGATATTCTCCACGTCTGAAGAAACTTTTTCTTATTGCAAAACCAACAATATCATAAATAATCATTGGGACCAAACATAGAAAGTATGCAGATTATGGATACACTTCAGGAATATATATTTGACACTTTGAACTTTCGAGTATGTATCTCCTCACCCGAAGATATCAAATGTTTGTGTATAGATTATGTAAGTTATTAGAGATTATAATATATATAATTATGAACCATATATGTATATATTATATATTGTTCTTACTATTCTCTAGCTTTGATCAATTTGTTCTGTATTATACCTGGCACAGGTTTTACAAAGAAAATATGGTCAAGATATCATTGTATATACAATATTTCATAGCGTGGCTAGAAAACTTGGTCTAAGTTGCGATGTACTATATATTGAAGATAAATTCTGTATATTTTGGAAACCAGAATTGTAAGTATAGATATATATTACAATTGACATTATCATTATTTCTCGATAATCTTTCTTTTTTTTATTATACGCATACATATATAATGTTTTATTATAAAATTTTCATATGATTAACGTAATATTTTATTTGTTTACAGCGTCACGAATAATTTAGAAAATGCAAGATGTTTTTACATAAAAGACGAGAAATTCCCGAATTGTCTTCATGATTGTCTACAAGAATACAAGTCTTATAAAACATATAATGACGTCAACAAAATAGAAACTGAACAGGTTGAAACTTATTTATTACTTCTATTAATTTTAAGTTATTAATATGCTTGTAAATTGACAAGCAATTAATAAATTACAATATATGTGTATAGAAAGAAGAGAAATGTACATCTCTCATTCCTTAATTTATAATTAGATCCTTGTTTACATTTAATCTTTATTCATGTTTAATTACCCTTTTCAGATATTGACCATGATAAGAACTTTAGTTATAAAAGACCATCAAATAAACGATTTGATGTTAGTCAAAGTGAAATGTAATATGTAAGAAACATACGCGCACTAATGTAATTGCATATTAGTATATAACATATACCATTGTAAAATAAAGAACATTGTGAGATATTTTCAGATAACATTATGTATAATTTACAATTTTCTATAATTTAACGTGTTTTGAGTGTTTATTGAGACATTTATTCACAAAAAATCAATTAAAGTAAAAATTTTACAGTTTCTGTCTTATTTTAAATAGTATAACACATAAATGAAAACGTGAAATATGCTGTAGAAATTGTCATAATATATAATCCTACAGAATAATCTACAGATTCGAACCAACATAATAGATAATAGGATGTTATTGACATATACATATATACATACATGTTCGACAATTGAGACTCAACGATGAATAAAATATATCTATTATCTTTCTGCGATATTTATTGTATTAGATAATATAAATAATAAAGTAAAAAATTTTGTGACTGCAACAATTTGAATTGGTGCAGAAAAATTAATAAATCTTATAATAAAAAAATTAATTAGTTTAATAACTTTTTTAACACTTTCAATATATGCAAAATATGACGTAATAAATTTGCCATCTATTAATATCTATTATTTTGACACTTATATAATCGATAGTGTGATGCGAATGTATAAATAGATATGTTAATAAAAGACAATGATTTTTATATTTTCAAATATACATAATTCTTTTGTATTGAAGAAGGCGATAAAAACTTATAATTGATATTAAATTTTGTATGATATTAGCATAATTTCAGATTTTGCAAACTCATCTCAATTTTAGAATCTTAATTTTAATTTCCCAGTTTCCGATTCAGCGACTTTTGGACCGATATATTTTGCTTTTCTACATCTTTATAGGGAGATCAAATGAAAACATAGGAATTAAAATCTCGAATTGAGATTTATTCACAAACATCTGCGTTGAGTTCGCATAGTCTGTTCATTTTGAGTTTGTATTTAATCCATAAAGTTTTATATTCTTATAAAGTTTAGATTACTAAAATATATACACCCCGTATATACGCGCGAATAAAACTACATAAAATTGTAGAATATTATTATGTAAACTATTTGTACATGCATCATTTATTAAATATTCGTATTGTAAGTCGGAAATTTTATTTTAGCTGGGAATTTTATCTGTTAAGATTTGAAAAATGCAAAATGTAAATCTCTCTCTTTCCCTTTCTCTCCTATCGAGAACATTTCATAATGCACAGCACTGGAGTTGTAAATTGTAATTTATGAATACATAAAAGTTGGTAAAATTTAATAAAATAAATAATAACTTGAAATAAAATTATTTTAATTAAGCTTAAATAATAAATAATACAAATACATGAAAATTAGTAAGATTTGAAATAACTGATAAATTTGGAAAAATATATTATTTTAATTAAGCTTAAATAAAGAACAATACATAAATAAATAGTAATAATGAAGAATAATTAATAAATAAATTGTTTACCACGTTCTATCTTTCAAGAGCACAGGAAAAAGTGGTGATTTTGGCTAGTTCTTAATTACATTTTCTGCGCATGCCGTGACAAATCCTTATACCTGTATTTAGGTAAAAACAACAATAAGGCTTTAAAATTTGGGGTCACATTTCATAATAAAAAACAGACCGTCTGTAGTGTGAAAACGTTTCTCGTGTATATCAAATACACATCTGTGTTCTTTGTAATCGGTGGATTCATTTCGTGTACTGCGAAAAGCAAGAAATTAATTACGCGAATAGTATATTGCAATTACTTTAATTTATATTCCTTTCTTGTGCTTTGTTTGTCATAATGTCTGATTGTAATATAACGAGCTTACCAGAAGAGATCATTCTCGGCTATAATGTTATCACTATTGAAGATATCATTAACTTTCGATGCGTGTGCAAGCAATTTCGTTATGCAGCCAACTATGACAAGTTCTTGGAAAAAAAGTTATTTCAGAGGTAATTCTTGTGATTTGTAAATCTTTTTATATTTTGACTTAATAATTTCTGTCGCATAATGTATATCCCTTCAGCGAACAACGTATTTTGTAAATATAAAAAATATTAATAATATAATGTAAGAAAACAAAAACATTAATAATGTATATAAAAACAGATAGAAAAGAATAGATTAAATAAATACAAAATGGACAAAGTAGCGTGTTAGCTACGTAATCTTTAACATTATTTTTTCAATTATTTAATTTATTTTTTATACTGATTCAATTAGTAAAATAATTTATTTATTGTTTATAGTAATTCAAAATAATCTTATTTTTTTAGATCTTTTAGTTTACATTAGCACAGTGTCTTGTGAAATTTTATTACATTATTATTCAAAAAATATAATATAATATGTACTTTAATATATAATTATATATAACATAAATAGTTAAAAAAAATATTAGAAAAATTAAATTTAATTACTTCACTTCCATTAAATCACTTAAATTTAAATATTTTATTTTATTATCGTTATTTATTTTACTAAATGATTTTTTCTATTGCTCATAAATTTGGCGAACTCTACCGTTATATATATATGTTTATTTGGAATGTAAATATAAATAATATACTGATAAGAATTCTTAATTTTCGGCTGTCATAAATTAAAAGACCAAATATTTTTCAACCGACATTCGTCGATTGATGTTTATTTAATTTTAATTAATCACACAATGTTTCGGCCACGGTGTTTCGACCATATAATTTTGGTCTTTCGCACACTTAACAGTAACACTTGAGAAGGCCAAAAATTATATGAAACGTTGTGTAATTAATTAAATAAATATTAATTAGTTTATATGCATATCGGTCGAAAAATATTCATCATTAAATAATTTTTTGGGGATTTAATTATTAAAAATACAACATAAAAGTAACTTGATTTATTTATTATAATGTGTATTCTACAATATATTTAATTGCATTTTTAAATATAAAAATTATATATATGATATATATTCGTGATACAAGCAAATAAATTTGATATTTTTCTATCGGTTATTTTTCATAAATAGCATTGAAATCACAATAAAAAGTAAAAACATGCCAAGTGACATATATAAGCACAGTCCACATTGTTTGTAAATATGCTTTCGAAAAAATTGTTTTACAAAATATTAAAAAAAAACTTAATCTATACACAGAACTGTGGCGTCATCTTATCTGCAAATAGATAATAAAAATATGTATTGTCTTTATATCTGCATCTTACAAATAGATAAAAAAAAAGTACTACCTTTACTATATTATTTATTGAAAATAATTTTCAGATATTTTTGATTTAAAGTCATAGCACATTGGAATACTTAAAGTAAACAATAAAGCGATAAAAATATGAATATATATATTGTTGTATCTTTTTCATAACTTATATTTCTTGTATAACTGTGTTTACACAACAAGTCTTAAATATTATTATCTAAACAATTATCTAAATAAATCGTCATATAATTGTATCTTTTATCTAGATATACTTGAAACAAAATCATCTTCAATCAATCTAAGATGAATTTACATACTTTATCTCATCTTTATCCAGCTAATTTTAAATTAATCTTGACACAACACTAAGTATCATTATCAAAAATTTATTACAATATTTTATGGTCGTATTTTAGATGGCCCTATGCGAAGAAAACATATGAAAGTCTTACGAAAAAAGAAAAGAAGAAAACCTAAACTTTGTTATAATAGGCATAAATTCTGCGATACAATTGCGAAGTTATTTGTCTCAAATTTTCTTTTATGATTATTTTTACAATAATAGATCAAATCGAAATTACTTCGATTACTCAATTCATAATGTATTGAAACTCGAAAATACTGTAAGGGAATTCAGTGGTAATATCGATAAATATGTACATTCTTTGCCTGCATATCGATTTTTTTTATCCTCGACATGAGCCTATAGATGTGCTGAAGAATATGTTTTATATTGAAGAGATTAAATGCTTGTTAACACAATTTCCACAGTAGGATTTTCATATATATTATAATGCAACTATTATTACAATTTAATATATTTAATCATTAGTTAATGCTTCAATATACATTTTTTAGAGATCGCAAATCAATCGAAAGTTTTTGCAATATAGAAATGTCTCACTATGCGAAGCTATCCTCGATAGGAAATGAGTTGGACAGATATACAGAGAAACTTGAAAGAGAACAGCTTTTTGAAGAAACATGTACTTTCATGTCAAAATATATTCAAGTTCGAGAAGATGTATGTTACACGAATGTAAGTGCATCATTGGATACAATCGCACAAGAAGTACGGAATCGTCTCAGAGAAAAGCATCCGAACCATTCGATATTCTCCACGTCTAATAAAACTTTTTCTTATTGGAAAACCAACAATATCGAAGATAATCATTGGGACAAAACAGAAAGTACGCAGATTATGGATACACTTCAAGAATATATATTTGGCACTTTAAATTTTCGAGTATGTAGGTCCGTACTCGAAGATATCAAATGTTTGTGTATAGATTATGTAAGTTATAGATTATAATATATATAATTATGGGCCATATATGTATACGTTATATGTTGTTTTTAATATTCTCTCGCTTTGATCAATTTGTTCTGTATTATACCTGGCACAGGTTTTACAAAGTAAAGTTGGTTCAGATATCATTGTAAATACAATATTTCATAGCGTGGCTAGAAGACTTGGTCTACGTTGCGATGTAGTAAAGGTTTGGTCTAGCTTCTGTATATCTTGGAAATCAGAATTGTAAGTATAGATATATATTAGAATTGACATTATCATTATTTCTCGATAATCTTTTTTTTTATTATACGCATACATATATAATTTTTTATTATAAAAATTTTCATATGATTAAAGGTAATATTTTATTTAATATAAAAAAAACTGTTAATCTCGGCTCGAATTATTGTGTTACAATAAAAATAAAATCTCGACGGCAATCGGAGCCTGCACAAGCTCCGATTGCCGTCGAGATTTTATTTTTAATATTTTATTTGTTTACAGCGTCACGAATAATTTAGAAAATGCAAGATGTTTTTCCATAAGAGACAAGAAATTCCCGAATTGTCTTCATAATTATCTGCAAAATTACGATTTTTATAAAACATATGACGTTAGCAAAATAGAAACTGAACAGGTTGAAACTTATTATTTACTTTTATTAATTTTAAGTTATTAATATGCTTGTAAATTGACAAGCAATTAATAAATTACATTATATGTGTACAGAAAGAAGAGAAATGTACATCTCTCATTTTTTAATTTATAATTAAATCCTTGTTTACATTGAATCTTTATTCATGTTTAATTAACTTTTTTAGATGTCGTACATGATAAAAACTTTAATTGGAAAGTTTATAAGAAACCATAGAATA